ATTGTAGCTTCATCCGTAGTCCGCTTCCATTGTCCTTGTTCTATATTCTATTCTATTTCTTCTAGTGCTAGTCGTTTCACTTCTCATCTTTCCTTGAAGTAGTATATTTGAATTGTAATTGTTTTCCTACAACGATCGCTTGTTGTGTTATTTTAACTTATTTATTTGCGTCTTGACTTCATTATTTATTTCGCCAGCGCCTGCAAGGCTGCATGCGCATGCTAGATTCTGTGTTCACGCGTGACTAATGATGTCATCGCTATGCCTTTGCTTGCTGCGCGTAGTCGCGTAGCTGGTCTTGTTGTTTTCTTTGCTTCGTTCGAGTTGCTGTTGCTCGACTTCGTTTTCTTTTCTATTTTCTGCATTCAATGGTGGCCGTGATGGCTGTCGCTGCAATAGCAGCTTCAGCCACGACGGGCCTCTATCGGTTGCTCTGCCGCCATGTTGGACGCCAAGTTTTAGACGTGTCTTTTCCTGGCCAAAGTGCTGGTGATTTTGTGTTCTTGTTGTTCTTTTCTTGTTCTCTCTCCTTTTCCAACTTGCATTTTTCGTGATTCATACATTTCCACCAAGAGGCTGCCGTTTGCGCTGGTGTGTTGTGTTGGGTGAAGAGGGGTGATAGAGAGACTAGATAGCTCCAGTTCTCCCACAAAGAGCACTTGCGACTTTGGCCAGACAATAACATCTTCCATCAAGTGGCACAAGGCTGTACATACTCTCTAGACAATGCTACGGGTGGTGGACTTGCTAATCCCAAAGCGATCAGCCAGATTTAGATACGATTCTTGATTTCCGAGGAACCACAAGCAAACCATCACCTGCTTTGCACAATCGACGGGTTGCCTGCCATAGAGCTGTGAAGTGGGAACTCCAGGGTTCTTAGCCACACGACCCACGATGATTTCGAATGTGGGTCGGGTCACACGGAAATGCTGGCGAAAATCGTCCATAGAATAACTGGGCACAGTTGCTTCAGCGAAATTTGTTACTCTTGGCACTGCTGCGCGCCGGTAACAAGACAAGAACATCATAAACGGAGCAATATCGCACCGAGCAGGGAACAGCATTTCTTCTGTCTCGCCGTCATCAAACAGCCTCCAGATCCAAGGGAATGCCTCGGCATTGTCCATTTTTCAGGCAACACTTGTATTTGTATTTTTTGTATTGTATTTTATTATTTTACTTGGGCATTCCCAACAGACCCTAAGGTCTTCTTACAGGGTGCCCAAGATGAATGAAATTGTTAAGTTTCTGGCGAAATGAATTGGGGATATGATTTGTGCGAAGGGATTCGGGAAGCGCATTAAAGCGGTCAGCACCAAGGAATGAAATAGATCTGTATCCAGCTTGAGCTTGCACAATGGGTAAGGAAAGGGAATAATTGACTTGGCCGCGGGTTACTCTGTCTGTGTGAGCGCAGTCACGGCGAACTTAGCGTCAAAGTAAACATGGAAGTTTCTGCATGCGAAAGTGACTACATCATGTACAAGTACATGTGCAAGAAAGGCGACGAGAAGAAAGTCAGTATCAAACAGCAGTTTTTTCCGTGCAATCAACCACTTACGCCCCTTTTGATCTTTTGACCTTTTGACCTTTGTTCAACGTCGTGACCAAAAGTCTCATTGCGATTCACCATATTCATGTTCACGCCGTTCGATTACTTCCTCCGCGTCATTAAAATAATTAATTGTCGCTTCCCAGAGCGATTTTTCGAAAATTATTTTGTCCACTCGAAGGGCACACGAATCAGCTAGAAATTGAGGCAGAGCATTGTCGACGGGCCAAGCTTCAGTTTGTGACCCCCCGCTTCGCTGCATTTGCAGCTAAAGTCGACGTCTTCATCAGAGTTTGAGGCAGACCCTTCAGCACTCAACAATACGCTGAACAAGACGTGCGTTCAAATTCAGGTCAAGAAACTTCGTTTTCAGGCGATCCATGCCTCCAGGTGACAGGCGATGAAGGCAAGCTAGCATTTTTCAAGTACACTGTAACGACCTACCAGCGGGACAGGGTAAGCAGTTCCGCACCTTCTTTCCTTGGCAAGCGCTTCGCTGATTTTGTTGGTGTTTTCAGACCTACTTTCGCAGGAACATGCGCCACAAGTAGCGCATTTTAGGAATTTGAGACCACTTTGTTCTTGCCATCGCCAACTTCAGCAATTCGTATTCAGGAGAGATACCAGGATTCTTATACCCGAGCTTGCAGTCTCCACAAATGCCCACGCGAACGATGTGGGACGGCACGAACTCCAGAAAACGAAATGCGCTCGAGGGCGGAATAGTGCGGAGCGCGATGAATTTGCTTGGTGCGGAAGAGAGCTCCGACAAAGTTCGAGACCACCATGGCTTCAGTGACAAGTAGACGTTGCGCAGGAAGGGTCACACCAGTGTTCGAACACAGAAAACAACGATTCTGACAGTCTGACTAAGACGAGCCAAGTCACAAATATTGCGATGTGCGAAGTATGGAATCGAGCATGAGTACGAGGACGAAAGTGCGGAATCGGAGCCCGACGCGCGCTAGCGCGGAGGGCTCCGATTCTAGCACTTGAGTCCGAGTACGAATGCTTTGATACCATTTCTGACATGCATTGCACGAACTACTTCGTACTACTAGTACTACTACATGTAGTACTTCACACATGTCAGCTAAAAACCAGGTCAGTTCAGCTTCTCTTCTTCGCAGTGACTACAGCCTACAGCCTACAGGTGCAGGTGAACATTGCAGTTTGCACCAAACCTAAAAAAAAAAAAAAAAAAAAAAAAAAAAAAAAAAAAAAAAAAAAAAAAAACCGGCCTCTGATGGCTGAATCGGAGCACGCCTGGGCGTGCTCCGATTGGAAAATCGGAGACCTGCAAGCGCTCACAGGTCTTCAGTGGCTGATTCAAAGCACGGCAAGTCGCGCTAGGATTCGCTGTTGTCATGTCGATTGTCATGTGACATGTCAGAAGCGACAATTTTAATGACGCGGAGGAAGTACTTTGAAGAAATTACGCACTTGACTCGATTCACGAATAGATTCATGAATCGATTCAAGTGTGTAATCGAACGCACTCAGTTGGTTAGAGTACTGCTCCCGATAACATGTACAAACAAGGTGCCTGGTTTGGGTTCCGGTGGTGTGACTAATGCATTTGTCTTTCGTTCATGTCTGGCTTGCAAGTGTTGAGGTTTGGAGAGACAAAAGCCGTACCTGGCACGTGGCCTCTCATTTACTACTTCAAATAAAACTTTGAAATTGCTAGTATTTGTGTGTAGAAATAATCTACGTGGAGATAGAACGTTTCTTCAGAATTCCCAAACTCCATGGCAGCGTATTCCTTGCACTTGAAAACACCGCCATTTCCGGCAACACGCTCTCAGCTGCACCAAATCAATAACTTTGCCAATATTTCGCCCAGAGATAGAAGTTTAATAATAGCTATGAAAAGTATAAATGCCGCAGACATCACCACGCAACATGACAATTTGTTCAAGGTTTGACTTTGTGTGTTTCCAAAATCGATTTTCAAGCTCCGATCATCAGTGGAAATACGCAACTAACGTGATCAAGGGAAAAACGAAGGTTAAATATCCAAAGAAGTGTGACATATGACGCGTAAGTATTACAAAAAGTGAGAACTAAGATAAAGAGTAAGTGTGACAAATTGGCATGAACAGTGCAGAAACAACTCATGAACACGGGGTGGAAACTCACGAAAATAACCTAAGTGCCACAACATGTTCTTTTTGACAGACAGAGCAAGTCGAACACATGGTGCAGAAGAAGAGTGGTGGATCACTAAGCCAACCGAATGTGCCTTCTCTACTGTTGCCCTTGCCGCCACCGGAGCCACCACCAGTGCCGTAGGTGGATGGGGTTGGGGTGGAGTCGGCAACAACGACAGTACCGCCAATCACAGAAATTGATCCCATTTCTTTGAGACAGGTGCCGGCTGTGCGGACACTGCAGCACCCTCCGGCGCTTGATCCGTGGGTCCAGAGACCACGGAGGTCGACTGCAAATTATTCCACCTAAATATATGCTAGAAATGGCCAAGGCCCACGCGTTGCATCGAAGGAGAACAGAAACCAGAAGCAAAACGGAACACAATCTCGAGACGTAGATGAGCTAAGGACAGTGGCACGAGACAGACGTAGGAAGGACAATACGGATGGTATCCGACGACGGACTGGTGGTGAATATGAGTAGGGTGATGATGCGGCGGATGACGAGGATACAGATGACGACGAGGCGGGTGATGACGAGGCGGCGGATGACGACGAGGCGGATGACGACGAGGCGGATGACGACGAGGCGGATGACGACGAGGCGGATGACGACGAGGCGGATGACGATGAGACGGCTGGTGGTGATGGTGATAAAACGGACGAGGAGGAGTCAGGTGGCAGGGAAGGTGATGGAGCTGATGAGGGTGAAATTCGTAAGACGTCTGCTGTGTACTTGCATTTGTTATCTCGTCCCGATTGTTTGAGTGTGTATGATGATTCCCACTTCTCTGTACTGTGTCGTGCCCGTTATGTCCAGCAGTGGAAGGTCCTTGAAGCTGTTTGTATTCGTACGCATAAGCCCGATTTGTGTAAGCAAAAAGAACATGTTGTAGCACTTAGGTTATTTTCGTGAGTTTGCACCCCGTGTTCATGAGTTGTGTCTGCACTGTTCATGTCCATTTGTCACACTTACTCTTTATCTTAGTTCTCACTTTTTGTAATACTTACGCGTCATATGTCACACTTCTTTCGATTTTTAACCTTTGTTTTTCCCTTGATCACGTTAGTTGAGTATTTCCACTGATGATCGGAGCTTGAAAATCGATTTTGGAAACACACAAAACCAAACCTTGAACAAATTGTCATGTTGCGTGGTGATGTCTGCGGCATTCATACTTTTCATAGCTATTATTTGTGTGTAGGGTAGCCATTGCCGAGTGAGACCTCATAGAAGAGAAGTGGTGTAGAGATTGAAACTCAAGTAATTTGTAAAAATTTCTGTTTCGCAGGAATCCAATGTACCGCACCTTCATTCACTTATGGTGCGACAAGACCAGCGTCTGGAGCAACTTTTGTTTATAACAGTCAGTTTCTGCTCTCTTGTTCAACTGGCTACTACGTCACTAACGAAGCTCAAACGACAACATCGAAAAACTTCAGATGTTGGAATGGTGGGCGTTGGTCTCCACATCAACCATCCTGTGAACGTAAGACTAGAATTTTCAAACATGTATGGACTCTCTTGAAGGGGAACATCACCCAAAGATCAAAACGTCATGGTCTGTAGACTTTAGGGCGCTGAGTCAAAATAAATAGAGAACGTCCCACTTCTTGATATGTTTCAGTTTGAAATTGTCTTTTCAAGTCCGTGTCGTGACGTCACAGAACATTGACGTCATTGGGACTTGGTGATCCTTTTGGCCAGATCCAGAAACACTGAGATTTTGCATCTTCTTTCTGTCTGTACATGGAAAAGAGGGTATGCCCTGTAATCATGGCTTCTTGCTATATTGTTGGCAACCCACCTGAGATAAACCTTCCCTATTTCCGAAGGATTGTGCTTAGCACAGGCTGAGCAGTGCAACATACAAGAAGCAGCTACCAAGCGACATAATTATTTGCTTGACAATATCGGGACTACCGTGAATGTAAATCCTCCGTTTGATCCAGCCATTTGGCAGAGGGGGATTTTCAGGAGGCAATTTATGCACTGATCCGAAACGGATGAACTCGGCAACGGACTTGTCCAAACTACGCAAGTTGGACGAGCCGAATCAAACTTTCCTTTTGAATCCGAAATCCTTCGTTTAGTACGATGGAGACGGTTGGCAGTTTTGGAGCTCCTGCTCCGCCCTCCTTTTCTTTTAGGATTGAGAAGGACTGGTCTGCAGACCACTTGTTTTACGCCAAGGCGCTCAAGCAGAGTAAGGTAGATATAAGTCAGGTCTGCCAGGTGGACCTTCAGGGCAAGCCTGGACATTGCGTAGTAACTGTGAAGAGTTCTGATGAGCGGGAAAAGATACTGGACGTAGGAATCCGGATTTCCGGTAAGCAGGTGCTCTGCGAGATTTCCGGGGTGGACTTAACCCATCTGCATGTGTTTGGGTGCCCTGTCGGGCTTCAAAACAGTAAATTGTGTGCTGCGCTGGGCCAATTCGGCCGACTTAATGGGTCGCCACAACAGAAAAAAGTATTGTTTGAGGGATTGGAAATCAGTACTGGCACCCGTGTTCTCAGCCTGGTCATCCGATCACCAGTTCCATCTACGGTTACCGTAGGTCAGTTGAAACTGCGAGTATGGCACCGTGGCCAACAGCAAACATGTTGGCGCTGCAACAACAGTGGCCACGAGGCTAAAGCATGTCCCAACCGTGGGGCACGTGCACAGTCTACAGCTTCCCGGCCTCCACAAACGCAGCACCGCAACACAACCGGTACGAGTGACATGGGCAACTCCCAGGGAGATAAACTCAGACGAGATAAAATGACATATGCAGAGAAAGACAATACATGACTGGGGCATATGGCAGAAATCCACGCCTCTCGGCTCGTCACACAGCACATTATGCACCACCATCATAAACCACACAGACTGAGACACATTGAAACATTACTAGCAAGCTAACATAACGTCAACCGACTGTTTAGGCCATTCTGTGAGAGCTGGACCGTGACGATCACAGCTTTCATTTGGTACTATCTTCTCACGGCCTTGTTAAGTGTTTACACTTCCATAGGTAGCACTTGCGCTGCCGCCACACTTTCAATACTACACACTCACCATACCATACCACACGTCATATCTGATTTATAGTCAGATCGATTCTGGACAATAAAGCCGTCTCATTGGTGGCAGCGACTTGATTTGGACCAGTTTTGGAGATGGCAGCGAAACTTCGGCAGGACTTCGGCACCTCTACGACCTTGAGCGAGTGGAGACTGTTCATCGCTGGCGACAGGAACAAAGAGGCTCTTTTCTCTCCGAAACTCAACACTTGCAGCCACAAACGAAAGAAAAAGCATTAGTCACACCACCAGGACTCGAACCAGGAACCTTGCTACTCGCGAGCAATGCTCTAATCAACTGAGCTACAGTATGGCTCTTATGCAAAGTGATGATGTGGACATTGGTTGATGCGCACCCCATGATATCAAACGGTTGGCCAAGCGCCCCTTGAGTGGTGTGAGTTGCCAGTATAATGCAAGCCACATATTGATTGATCGAATAAGTATAGATTTGCCATCACTGTGATTACGAGTCAAACTGTAGCTCAGTTGGTTAGAGCATTGCTCCCAAAAACATGTACTAGCAATGTCCCTGGTTTGGGTTCTGGTGGTGTGACTGATTAATTTGTCTTTCGTTCATGTCTGGCTTGTAAGTGTTGAGTTTTGGAGAGACAAAAGCAGTACCTGGCACGTGGCATCTAATTTCCTAAAACTTTGAAATTATCCGTGAAGTCCAAATTTGAAACTGCTAGTTATTGTGTGCACGGTAGCCATTGCTGGATGAGAGCTCAAAGAGAAGAAGAGGTGGAAAGATTGAAGCTCAAGTAAATTTTGAAACATTCTGTTTCGCAGGCATCCAATGTACCGCACCTTCAATCACTAATGGTGCGACAAGACCAGCGTCTGGAGCAACTATTGTTTATAACAGTCAGTTTCTGCTCTCTTGTTCAACTGGCCACTACGTCACTAACGAAGCTCAAACGACAACATGGAAAAAGTTCAGATGTTGGAATGGTGGGCGTTGGTCTCCACATCAACCATCCTGTGAACGTAAGACTAGAATGTTTTTCAAACATGTATGGACTCTCTAGAAGGGGAACATCACCCAAAGATCAAAACGTCATGGTCTGTAGACTTTAGGGCGCTGAGTAAAAATTAATAGTGAACGTCCCACTTCTTGATATGTTTCAGTTTGAAATTGTCCTTATCAGGTCCGTGTCATGACGTCACAGAACATTGACGTCATTGGGACTTGGTGATCCTTTTGGCCAGATCCAGAAACACTGAGATTTCGCATCTTCTTTCTGTTTGTACATGGAAAAAGAGGGTATTCCCTGTAATCATGGCTTCTTGCTATATTGTTGGCAACCCACCTGAAATAAACCTTCCCCATTTCCGAAGGATTGTGCTAAGCACAGGCTGAGCAGTGCAACATACAAGTAGCAGCTACCAAGCGACATAATTATTTGCTTGACAATATCGGGACTACCGTGAATGTAAATCCTCCGTTTGATCCTGCCATTTGGCAGAGGGAGATTTTCAGGAGGCAATTTATGCACTGATCCGAAACGGATGAACTCGGCAACGGACTTGGCCAAACTACGCAAGTTGGACGAGCCAAATCAAACTTTCCTTTTGAATCCGAAATCCTTCGTTCAGTACGATGGAGACGGTTGGCAGTTTTGGAGCTCCTGCTCCGGCCTCCTTTTCTTTTAGGATTGAGAAGGACTGGTCTGCTTACCACTTGTTTTACGCCAAGGCGCTCAAGCAGAGTAAGGTAGTTATAAGTCAGGTCTGCCAGGTGGACCTTCAGGGCAAGCCTGGACATTGCGTAGTGACTGTGAAGAGTTCTGCTGAGCGGGAAAAGATACTGGACGCAGGAATCCGGATTTCCGATAAGCAGGTGCTCTGCGAGATTTCCGGGGTGGACTTAACCCATCTGCATGTGTTTGGGTGCCCTGTCGGGATTCAAAACAGTAAATTGTGTGCTGCGCTGGGCCAATTCGGACGAATTGTTGGGTCGCCTCAACAGAAAAAAGTATTGTTTGAGGGATTGGAAATTAGTACTGGCACCCGTGTTCTCAGCCTGGTCATCCGATCACCAGTTCCATCTACGGTTACTGTAGGTCAGTTGAAACTGCGAGTATGGCACCGTGGCCAACAGCAAACATGTTGGCGCTGCAACAACAGTGGCCACGAGGCTAAAGCATGTCCCAACCGTGGGGCACATGCACAGTCTACAGCTTAAGCGCTTCCCGGCCTCCGCAAACGCAGCACCGCAACCAGCTGCTGACCTGCCTGACCTGCAACGACCTGCCTATGCCACGCTAAAGCACATTCACTTCCGCGCAGCAACGGTCAAACGGCACTTGGCGAACTTGGCTGTATCAAAAGCAACTGGACCGGATGGCATCTCTGCTCGTGTGCTCAAGATGTGCTCATCTGAACTTGCAGACCCACTGGCAAAGCTCTTCGCCCTCTGCTTCTTAGCCGGTGTGCAACCTGGGGCATGGAAACTTGCCCATGTAGTCCCAGTTCACAAACGGTCCTCCAGATCTTTGGCATCTAACTACCGACCAATATCACTGCTAACGATCATGTCGAAAGTCATGGAGGGCATTGTAAACACGCAACTGGTTAACTACCTAGAGAAGCATGAGGTGTTGCCAAACAGCCAGTTTGGATTCCGACGTGGTAGAGGAACCGCAGATATCTTAACAGCTCTCCAACATGAAGCTGTGTACCAAGCAAGAGCGGATGCAGTTTTGAGAGCTCTGCATCCTTTTGTGAATGTGGTAGTTTTTGGATCCTTATAAAGCATATCTAGGGCGTGCCCTTATAACCTAACCACCAATCATGGCGAGCACTGGTAACTCGAGACCCCGATGGATGGCACTGACCTCGGAGCAGATGCGAGAGACGTCCGGGAAATTCGATTGCCCACTGGGGACCAAAGTGGTGGATGTCGCGAATGCACTGGGAGATGCTGGATACAACGACCTCACATCTGTTCAGATAAGTTCACAGCATGAGTGCATTGTAACCTTCATGTCCACTGCGAGTCTAGAGCGTGTTGTTCGGGAGGGCTTTTCTCTATTGGATAAGACAATTTTGGTTTCAAACGTACTGGATTCGATCCTCCAGCTGCATATATCTGACCTCCCTGTCTGGATCTCGGACATTGCATTTTTTTTTTTTTTTTTTTTTTTTTTTTAATGTTTATTTGAATTCGGATAGCTCAACAGTACAGAAGTACAACTACAAAGAGTACCGAATAGAAGGCCCCGAGAACGGGAAACCAAAAAAAAACAAAAAAAACAACAAAAACAAAAACAGCAACATCAAGTTACTGATTATGCACATTGCTTGAAAGCAAATCACAACAATGATTAAGAGTTAAGCTGTCTTTTAGCCAAATAGCCAATTTGACGCGGAAATCTGCGATAGTAGTGCAGGACTTCAGGTCGTCTGGTAAATAATTCCAAACAAGAGCCGATTTACTTGAAAAGGACAGAAAGCCAGACATAGATCTATAGCGATTGATACTCATGTTATGAGTTGTAGAGCCGCGAGTAGTTCGGGTAGACGTACAGATGGGAAAGAGGGACTGCAAGCAAACAGCCGGCTTAATACAGTAACAGTGGAAAATGAATGCAAGGAACAAAAATACTGATCGATATTGGAAAGAGGAAACATTGAGGTGGTGAAGAAGTGGCGTGATATTAGCTTGGGGTGATGCGCCACAAGCAACTCGTACAGCGCGCCGGTGGAGTGAGGCTAGCTTGTTTCTATTTTTAGCGGATATAAACGAAAGGTATACAGGGAGAGCATATTCTAGATCAGGCTGAATAACACCGACAACGAAAGTACGGCGAGCAAACAGGTTCATCTGGCGGAAAGATCGACGCAGTACACCGATCTTCCGTGAGGCTTTCCGGACGACATTGTTAATGTGTTGGTCAAAGGACAGCTTATTGTCAACAACGACTCCTAAGCATCTGGTGCTTTCAACTTCCCCTAGCATAACATTTGACAAGGTGATTTGCAGTTGCATTGACGGACGCTCTCAAACCGTACGGTAGTCCCGCTTCAACAGTTCGATACGGGCAAGTCACCACAAAGCATGGCTTCGATGTTACAACCGGGGTACGCTTTTTAAGCTTCAAACTAGGGAAACAATGCCCCTCCATTCCATCGTACGTTCAAACGGCAGGGGGTCACGTCTTTGCCGTACGGTATAAGGATCAACCACGCACATGTAGGGTATGCGAGTCCCCAGGTCACCTGGCCGCGGACTGCCCCACCAGGCCACGCACCCCTCGTGGAACGTACGCTAACAGGGTCAAATCGGGACCCCAGAAAGGGCGCGAGGATCAGCCACTGCCTGAAAGCCTAGCCTCTGCAGTCAAATCGGGACCCCAGGAGGTCATCGGTGCAGACAAAGCGCGCGAGGATCAGCCACAACACGAGAGCCTGGGCGCTTCTCCAGCTGGTCAGGTCGACTCGAGACCCCTGGAGGAGGGCACGGGTACACATGGCAGCCAAGACTCAGCTTCTGCCGTAACTGTCAAAATGCGACCTGAGCATGATAAACAAAGCAACCACGTGGAACTTGACCTGACTCTGTCTCCTGACAGCAGCTGGGCCGAGGAGTCGGACTGTCCACCTGAGGGGAAACTCTCAGGGGGCGATGAGGCTAGAGCATTGGCGATATTGGCAGACTGCTTCCACAAGAGGCCGCGGGAGTCGACCTCCCCATTGGTAGTTTCCAGTGATAACCAGAGAAAGAAGAAGGCGAAAAAGATCACTGCGTCAAGCAACAAGCAGATAACTTGGCGCAGATAACATCTTCTCCCCCTTTGTAGCCCTAGGTATACAAACACAACCTGGTTTTCCCTGTCCTACTTCAACCTCGTGTCTTCCTCCAGCTTCCTCATTCTTATCTTTAGCTTGATCCTTTTAGGTATTTCATTAGATTTTAGGACCCTTAGCCATACATGTAACTATGCACCCGCTTACGCCAAATGTCCCTCCCCTTTTTTTAATTACTTCCTCCTGCAATGAAGGGTAGCAAGAATCTTCGCATTCTCTGCACAAACGCTTTCGGCCTAGCCAGCAAACTTCCCGACCTACAGCACGCACTCCTGCAGCATCAGCCCGACGTAGCAATTGTGACAGAAACGAAGTTCACTGCGGAGAAAGTGCTTCCCTCTGACATCAGCTTCCCTGGATACAGCTCACCACTTCGGTTGGACAGAACGGCACATGGGGGAGGGGTAGCCATCTGGGTGAAGTCGTCACTCCCCTCCATGCTCATCCCTGACCTCATGTCCCCCGCACATGAGATCATCTGGGTTTCTCTCCAGCTGGCCCCAGGTCTCCGCACCGTCTTGGGAGCAGTGTATCGGCCAGGGTCCTGTGCCCCTGGCGATCTTACCTTAATCGATCATCTCGACAACATCCTCCCAGAAGCTAGACACCAGGGCTCCCACATTATCCTAGCTGGCGATTTCAACGTGCACAACCGGGCTTGGCTGAACAGCTCGAAATCTACGCCTGCAGGCGAGGCTCTCGAAGATACCTGCGCTGCCCATCTTCTTGTCCAGCATGTCACAGTACCGACTCGTGGAGACAACCCGCTAGATCTCATAATGTCAACGTTCACGTCCCCAGTAACTACACGTATACTTCCGCCCCTCGGTCGATCTGACCATGCAGTTGTACTGTCAGACTTTTCTTCCGTGCTCCCTAGACGTGAACCCCCTGTTAAGCGAACAGTATTTCGCTACAACAGGGCAGACTGGGATCGCCTTAGGGCGCACCTTCGCAAAGTGGAATGGGGTGATATCATCACGGAGGACCCAGAAACTTCCTGTGAGCAGGTTACCGCTTCGATTACTGCAGCTGTTGCACAGTTTGTCCCATCCAAAGTTCTGGAAACGAGGCCTTCCGATCCGGTATGGTGGACGCCTGAATGCACAGAGACCGAGAGGGAGAAGGAGAAGCGCTGGCGCGACTGGAGAAAACACCCTTATGACCCAGCACTTCAG